GGTAGTTTGATCTTCCATATACTGATTCACTCCCCAAATGGTCACAACAGCTGAGTCTAAGTCAGACTTAAAGCCAAGAGCCTAGAACTCCCATCTGAGTCTCACATGTGGGTAGCAGAGACCCAAGTGCTTGGGCCATGTTCTGCTTCTTTCCCAGGCACATTAACAGAGAGCTGGGTCAGAAGGATGCAGTAGCCAGGACTTGAACTGGCATTCATATGGGATGCTGATGTCTCAAGCAGTGGCTTAGCCCATTGTGCCACACACTGGCTCTTACTAAACATCTTAATTGCTATGATCTTCAGTTGTTGTCCTCTTCGTGTAATATAAAGATTGGGAAAGATATGAACCTCATCTTCCAAGAAATAATAGTATGTCTTTCTTACACAGTAGTAATACATTCATGTGCCAGAGAAGAGCAGCAGAAGATATTAGAGAACATTAAGAGTGTTTAAAGTACCAGTGTTGTGGCTTAGAGGGTTAAGCCACTATCTGTGATGCCAATATTGCATATGGGCTCTGGTTCAAGTCCTTGCTGCCCCATTTCAAATCCAGCTCCCTTCTAATATACCCAAGACATCAGCAAAAGATGGTCCAAGTCCTTGGGCCCCTGCACCCACATGGGAGACCCAAATGAAGCTCCAGGCTCCTGACTTTGGCCTGGCCCAGCCCTGGCCATTGCAGCTATCTGGGGAGTGAACCAGCAGATGGAAGATATCTCTCCCCTTCTCTCTCTGTAACTCTTTCAAATTAAATAAGTAAATCTTTTAAAAACAAAAAGAGTGCTTGAATAATATATAGTATTTTATTTGCTATGCATAATTAGGAAAATCTAGACTAGATGGTAGTATTAGAGTTCAGAAATGTAGTTTCTTGAATGGTGAGTCATTCTCATCACATAATCCCTTACCACTTTCTTATGTGTAACTAAAATGCAGGAAATATCTATTTAAAAACTTAACATCTTGGGACATTGGGGAGTTGCTACCATTTGGGGAGTGAACCAGCAGATGGAAGATCTCTGTCTCTGTCTCTTTCTGTCACTTTGCCTTTCCAGTGAATAAAATAAACTTAGAAAAGTTACATCTGGGGACTGGCATTGTGGTGCAGCGGGTTAAGCCACTGCTTACAACATTGGCATCCCAAAGTCCACATTGTGTCACTTGTGATTCAGCTCCTTGCTAATGTGCCTGGGAAAGCAGTGGATGTTGTCCCAAGTACTTTGGCCCCTGCCATGCTTGTGGGAGACGTGGGTGAAGCTCCAGGCTCCTACGTTCAGCCTTTCCCAGCCTTGCCATTACAGCCATTTGGGGAGTAAACCAGTGAGGGAAGATCTCTCTCTCTCCATCTCTCTAACTCTACCTTTTAAATAATAAATAATAAATCTTTTTTAGAAAGAAAAGTTACATCTGGAGAGGGCATTTAGCAATGAGATTAAGCCACCAATTGGGACACCTACATTCAGTATTAGAGTGCCTGGTTCAAGACCAAGCTCTACCTTCCATTCCAGCTTCCTGCTAATACGCCCTTGAAGGAGATGCTCTGAGTAGTTGGGTCCCTGCCATCCATGCCAGAGACCAGGATGAAGTTCCTTACTCCTGGCTTCAAGGTGCTGGAGGCATTTGGGGAATGAACCAGAAGATGGGAGATCCCTCTCTTTCAAATAAATAGATAAATATTTAAATAAAAATTTTAAGAAGTGAAAATAAAAGTTGTATACTAACTTATACATTAGGATAAAAATACTTTATTACTTCCTGATCATCAAACAGTAAGTATGATCAGTAAATATTTTCATTTGCCTTATCTGAGTTAACAGCTATCTCCTTTTGTTGTTATACTTTTAAGATTTTATTTATTTTAAAGAGTTACAGGCAGAAGCCGGCACCACGGCTCACTAGGCTAATCCTTCGCCTTGCGGCGCCGGCACACCGGGTTCTAGTCCCGGTCGGGGCGCCGGATTCTGTCCCGGTTGCCCCTCTTCCAGGCCAGCTCTCTGCTGTGGCCTGGGAGTGCAGTGGAGGATGGCCCAAATCTTTGGGCCCTGCACCCCATAGGAGACCAGGATAAGTACCTGGCTCCTGCCATCAGATCAGCGTGGTGTGCTGGCCGCAGCGCGCTGGCCACGGCGGCCATTGGAGGGTGAACCAACGGCAAAGGAAGACGTTTCTGTCTGTCTCTCTTTCTCTCACTGTCCACTCTGCCTGTCAAAAAAAAAAAAAAAAAGTTGCAGGCAGAGGAAAGGAGAGACAGAAAGTGAGAGAGGTCGTCCATCTGCTAGTTCATCTCCCAAATGACTACAGTGCCCAAGGCTGGGTCAGGCTGAAACTAGGAGCCAGGAGCTTCATCCAGGTCTCCCATGTGGGTGATAGGGGCCCAAGTACTTGTGCTATCTTCTTCTGTTTTCCCAGGCCACTAGTAGGGAACTGGATCAGAAGTGGAGCAGCCAGGCCACAAACCATTGCCCATATAAGAATCCAGTGTTGCAGGAGGCAGCTTAACCTGCTGCGCCCCAACACTGACCCCTGTTGTCCTGCACTTTTAAAAACACCTGCATGATTCTGATGTCGTGCTATGTCAGCAATGTAATTCAGTGTTTTTCCTTCACATCTTTTATTTTCTTAATACTGTATTGTGATTTTGGACTATAAATATAAATTATTCCTTTAAAAAGTTGCTATAATAAATATGGGGAGATACATACCATTCCACTAGTGTGTTGGAACTCTAGAGGCTGCCTCCCTGTTAAACTTCAACTGGGAAACCTTCTGCCTGATAGGCTTGAACTTGCAAACCTACTGCCTGCCTATGATTGTGTCTTCCTCTGTCCACAGAAGCATTTGTCCTTACTATAAGGCATAATGCCCACGAGGGACTCAGGTTTCCAGAAATCCAAAGTCAGGAAGGCAAGGTTGTTTTTAGTGACAACAGTTTCCTGACCAGGGGTCCAACACTAGGACTTCGTGAATGGAGTGATGAAAAAGTTACAAGGAGAAATAATTAACATCTCAAATTATTCTACTCCCTTGAAGGATTTAGAAGAATGTAAGGAAGAATATAACAAAAGACACTCAGAGTGGGTCAGGTGTTTGGTGAAGTGGCTTGGAACACCTGCATTCCATAACAAAGTGCCTGGTTTGAGTGCAGGCTATTCTGCTTCTCATCTAGCTTCCTGGGAGGCAGCAAATGATGGCTCAAGTACTTGAGTTCTTGCCACTCGCATGGGAGACCTGGAAGGAGTCCTGGGCTCCTGGTTCAGCCTGGTCTAGCCCTTGCTGATGCATGCATTTGGGGCATGAACCAGTAGATGGAAGATTTCTGTCATGCTCTCTCTCACCCTCTCTTCCCCTCTTTCTGTTCCTCCACCTTTCACATAAAATCAAAATAAGTAAATTTTGAAGATATTCAGAGACATTGCTTTGGCTTGAGCAATTTTAAAGAATCTTGGAAATCCTCGTAGATTCAGTTTTTGAAATGGAGAAATGTACACTTTATGGGGTAGGAGGGGGAGAGTAGCTAGTCTGAAGTGCTGTGTTTCAGTCTTTAGTGTGGCTATTAAACAATAATAGGTGGACTGAACACAGATCACTGAAAAGATGTTTATGTTTCTCTTTCTCTCGCCCCTCTCTCCCTCTCTGTCTGGACATTTTATTTATTTATTTGAAAGTTCTATTTATTTATTTTTAAAAGTATAATTTCATTTGAAAGGCAGAGAGACAGAGATCTTCCATCCACTGATTGACTCCCCAAATATCTAAAACAGCCAGGGCTGGGCCAGGAGATAGGAACTCTAGCCACGTCTCCCATGTGGGTAACAGGGATTCAAGTACTTGATCCTTCATCTTCTGCCTTCCAGGGATGTACATTAGCAGGAACTTGGATCAGAAGCCAAGCCAAGACTTGAGCTAAACCCTCTATTACCAGGAACTCCCAAGCAGCAACTTAACTACTACACCAGATACCCACCCCCATTAAAAAATATAAGATTATTTTGGTGTAAAATATTTTGAATTCCATGCATAATTTTTTCAAAGTACACATTTTCCATGAACTTTTTGAAGACTGTGTGCTGGATATCAGAAATTTTTTGTACCAAAATTTTTGTCTTCAATTTTCTATGAACTTTTTGAAGTACTCTCATATAATTTCTATACCATAGAATTTACTTTTCTAAAGTATGTATTTTATTCTTGTATTGAATAAAATTTTAAAGACAAATTACTTCAATAGGAAAAAATATCTTTTCTCTTAAGTAATAAATTTCTTACTGTGTGCCCAGTGTTATTCTGAGCACCTTTTTGGTATGAAGTCATTTAATTTTTATAACAGACTCACAGAAAAAGGTGCCATCGTTCCCATGTTGTGGATGACGTAATGTCAGCACAGAGCACTTAAGTAACTTGCGGAGCAGCAGCACACTGCTAGTAAGTGACAAAGCTGAGACTCCAGCCTGGGCAGCCTGAGCACTCCTTGGACTCCTAGGTTATGCTGCTTTCAACAGAGGGTTTATGGACACTCTGTGATGCTGCTAGTTCCTCAGGCTTTTTACCAAATACTTCACCTTTATTCAGAGTACCATGTTTTCATTTTGACATAAATTATTAAAAGATACATTTATTCAAAAATTTTAAGTATTTTGTATGTTCTTCAAAGTCATGTTTTAAAACATGGCTTTTTTTTCTTAAAATGTATTTTGTATTTAAGCCAAAAAATTTCCATGATTCTTTGAAATTTTTTTTATCTTTATTATGCTTTTAACATGTTTAAAAAGTTATTTTTTCTTTTTTTGTTACTCCATTCCAAGTCTTAGTGATAAAATTGCAACTAAGACCCTTTCATGATTTTCCTATATTTCAGATTTTTTACTCAGATTTTTTACTGCCTTAAAGTCTAAAATGTGCCACTGAGGGTTGTCTCAATCCTCCCCCCTTCTTTGTCCTCCTTGTTTACTCCTAACAGCTGAATTATTTTCTTTGTATTGTTTGTTTTCTTTTTTTCAGCAATGCGGCCACTTAGCATGTCTTACAGTTTTGACTTGTCAGGTAAAAAAAAAAAAAAGCACTTTCACACCTGACGTGGGTTTTGTGGTTTCTGTGAACTGCATTTCATTCATTTGTTTATGTCAAGAAAGAAAATTGAAAGGCTTCTTTTAAATGTGGTCAGTGAAATAAAACATTCTGCTTATTTGAAAATAGCATTCTTTAGCCGATTAAAACTCCAGTGAATCTGCTGCCTTCCAAGGATTGTTAGAGGACCATTACACCATACTCACTGTACTCCAGTTGTGAGACACAGCTGCTATCCTCAGGTAGCTGTCATACCCACTCCCCTAGACTCTTCTGAAGCAATGATGCTAAATTCCAAAATAGACCTTTGCCTTAAGAGAAAAGAAGAAACTTCAACTTCCTGTTACAGTTCAAACCAGTTCTATTACATAGAAAGGGATTAATAGTGAAATCAGTAACTAGTAGTGTCTGAATGTGATCTGTAAAATAAAACCTTATTTTAAATTGAAATTTAAATATGTTTGAGTGAATTTTAAATAACATGGAATGCCTCTTAAGGTATAAATAATTGTTGGCATACTTTACATACAAATTTAAATATAAAGAGCAAGAGTTCTAGTATCATTTCCTGTATATAACAAAGAACTGAATATTCTTCAACTATAAAACTAGCTCCCAACGGTTTTTTAATCTTATGCTTATTTTTGTAGCTCTCAGGCACAACTTTAATGTTTTACAATATTCATTCACTATTTTTGACTGACCACTGAAGGGCTTTTTCTATTTTCTTTATCCATTTAGCAATTTTTATTTTATCAGTCTTTTGCAGAGTGACTGAATTTCGGTCTAGAAAATATGAAACTCAGAAATGATTTGGAACATACATGCTACTACTATTAATCTCCAGAGGTTAGCAATATGTATTATAGATACTCCATCTCTTCTGAATGTCTATTAAAGCACTTTCCATCAGTTGAACTGTAAAGAAGTGGTTGGCTACCTAAACACATTGATTACCAGCTACCATAAATGGGGCTCGTGCTGATCTAGTCAGTATTCATGCTCACACACATAAATAGGTATGTTCTGTGTTCTTACAGCTATTTGATAGGTTTTGAGTGAGAAGAAGGCTCTGATACTTAAACTCCTTGATGTAAAAGGGTAGCAAAGAATTTTCATTTGGTTTTGCTGCTGATCATTTGCTGCAATTTATTTTGTGCCTTAGTGTATGTTGTGATTTTCAAGTGTTTCACTTTTGATTTCTTGTGCTATTTTCATGGTTTTCATTGTTGTATTTTAACTATTAATTTAGATATCCCAAATTATAAATGGAAAAGATTCCTTGCTTTAACTTAAATGAAAAGATTGGAATTCATTTGCTGAGTTGGAAAATGAACAATAAAGAGTAGACATTTTAAACATGTGGTCTTGATGAAGACTATGAAATTAAGTATAGACCATGGCATTCCAAGGTATAGCCTGCTGCTCAAATATATCTTAGAGATATTAATACTTAGTTACTTAGTGAAAATCTTAGCAATCAATTCAGCATCAGTTAAGGTAAGTATAATTTGTTTTTCCTATGCAAATATTAAATATACAATCTGTGTTCCAGTCACATGTGCTCCAACTACATAAAGCAGCAGACACACATAAAGCTATGACATAAAATCTTTACAATAATGGATATGCATTTTAGATTCTGAACCTAAGGTATATGTGGTTTTAAAACCATACCTAAGTATTCTACATCTGAAATACTTTGCTTACTTATAAATTTTTTTCAAGAAATTCTGTCTTATATAAGAAAAATACAAAGTCTAATTCAAGTGTGTAGTTTTCCTCATTTGATACATTGAAGGAATAATGAGGGTTTATTTATTTGAACAAATAGAAGTAAACTCCTTAAAAGTATATTCAACAGACTCTTTAATAAACATGTAATATGAGATAAAATCACACACAGAATTCAGTTTTATATGCATGGTCCATCCTGAAACTGTATGCAACCTACTCTTTATTAATTCCATTTTTCAGTAGTTTCAGTCAGGGAGCTAAAATGACAGTTATCAGTCTTATAGTTCAATATTTGACTAGAGAGCTGCTGGACAATTTTTCAAACGTCTGTGTTGAGAATGACATAAGTCAATCAACCATTGTCATTAAACAGTGTTCCCTAAACTTTAGTTCACATGCCATCTTTATGATTTTTGCCAAAATTGATACTGGTACTATTTAAAATTTTTAATCTACTTTAAATTACTTAAAATTTCTTGAGCAGCAATAACCATAAATGATGAATCTGGGATAATTTTTTGTCTGCAATGTATTAATATAAGTATATAACCATTAAAACTGAGTGATCCTCTGTGCTCTGCCAGTGGTACATCGCCACTCGTAGGAAACTGGTGAATTGGACAGGTGAGACAAGCCTTGGGAAGCTGACTGTAACATTATTGCTCTGCCTCTAGTTTGGGAGTGTACTGTTGCCACATGAAGGGTGGGAGCTTCAAAGATATTTCTTCCTCCCTTAGAAAGTAGACAGCTTAGAAAGGTAATGTGTGTTTTCCAATTATTTATGCTCTCTTAGAAGGTTAGCTACTACAACAATGAGAACAATTTATAGATAATATATAATAACAGTATATTATGAAATAACATTTTAAAATATACACCTCTTTAAGACCTTTTTTTTTTTAATGTTTTCTATCTTATTTCTTGAATAGAAATCAATTAACCCAGTTGTTTCCTCTGTTAATTTCTGGAAGTTTTAAAGTACTTTCTAGGATACTTTGATTTCGAACTTATATATTTTTTTCAACTTTTATTTAATAAATATAAATTTCCAAAGTACAACTTTTGGATTATAGCAGTTTCTCCCCCCATAACCTCGCTCCCACCCGCAACCATCCCATCTCCCACTCCCTCTCCCATCCCATTCTTCATCAAGATTCATTTTCAATTATCTTTATATACAGAAGATCAACTTAGTATATACCAAATAAAGATTTCAACAGACTACACCCACACAGACACACAAAGTATAGAGTACTGTTTGAGTAGTAGTTTTACTGTTAATTTGCATAGGGCAACACGTTAAGGACAGAGATTATATTTTAATTGTTTTTCCCTACAAATTTTTGAAAGTACCCTCATAATACCTGGGAAGATAATAATATGGTAAATGGATGTACTGTAAAGTTCCCTATTAAAAACTTTATCTCGGAACCGGTGCCATGGCTCACTAGGTTAATCCTCCGCCTGCGGTGCTGGCATCCCATTTGGGTGCCGGGTTCTAGTCTCGGTTGCTCCTCTTCCAGTCTGGCTCTCTGCTGTGGCTCGGGAGGGCAGTGGGGGATGGCCCAAGTGCTTGGGTGCATGAACCCACATGGGAGACCAGGAAGAAGCACCTGGCTCCTGGCTTCGGATCAGTGCAGTGCCGGCCGTAGTGGCCATTTGGGGGGTGAACCAACAGAAGGAAGACCCCTATTCTCTCTCTCTCTTTCTCTCTCTCTCTCACTCACTCACTCTCACTGTCTAACTCTGTCAAATAAAAAATTAATTAATTAATTAATAAAAAACTTTATCTCAGGTGATAAATGGTTAATGTCTGCCTTCCCTTTTCTTTTCTTTTCCTTCCACCCTTCTTTTCTAGCTTATCCAAATCCTTTCTTAAAGTTCACGAGGGCATGTTTTCTGATCTTCTTGGTCTCTAAAACGAAGCAGAAATTGTAAATATCAAATAAGATATCTGTCAGTTGTAATATGAAAACTGTGCTAGATCACACTTACATATTGACGGTTTCCTGGAACTCCATCTGTTACACTTCATGCACATAAATATCACTTCCTGAAGGGAGAAGGGGAATCTAACCACAAATAGAATCATCTTGGATTTTTTTAAGTAACTTCAGTTACACTGCTTCCTAATACTCCTAAAGCAGCAAAAATCAAGTCTTTTTCACTTTAGTACTTAGCATGCCCTTTACCCCAATTCCAGGTGCTTCACAGGTTAATCCTTGTATAAAGAGCAACAGTGCACTGTGCTGATCTAGAAATTAAATTATACAGTGACTGCTCTTTTTTCACTCTATTGTTGATGTTGGCGGTTAAATTTAGTACATGTTTTAACTCATTGTTTAAAACATTGAAGAAAATTGCTTCTACTTGAATTGGAAGATTCAAGGTTATAGTACTAAAAATTGATCTGTGCTGTTGAGTTCATGAATCCCCTGGCCCAATACTGATTGTTGCTGAATCATTCTGAGCCTTAGTTTACTTACTCACAAATGGAGATAAAACTCAGTGTTAGCAATTGCTAAAATTTATTATGTGCTGCTGCCTACACTAGGCACGATGCTTTGTGTGTAATTATTAGCCTGTTTCGTCCTCACAGCAAGCCTGCATCTGTTATTATCTCCACCTTACAGATGAGGAAACAAGGATTGGTCACTTAGAGTCAGACAGCCAGCAGTAGAGCTAGTCCCCAAACAATTGGCATCATACTACACTGTATAGCAGCTCATTTTCTCTCATTTGTGGTATTGCCTTCCCATCAAAATGTGAGCCCTCAATAATTAGGATCAGATTTATCAGAGGGAATGTATCCCAGATTCTTTATATTCACATTAACTATATTCATGTGAATATAGACTATTAGCTGTTTAGCTCTTTAACCTAAACATTTTCAGATCCTGCAGACATAAACCTGGGAAGGCTTTGTGTCCTCTGTGCCTCTCATCTGCCTGTCACTACCTCCTGAGCTGCTGTAAAGTAAAGCCAGCCTCTCTGGGCCTCAGTTTCCTCACCTGGAAAATTAAGAAGTTGGAGTCAGCTATCTTCTAATCTACAAATGTGAATATATAATTATTCATTTTAAAGTTTCCTATAATTGAATCTTACAGTTAATGTTTAACAAAAAGTTTCAAGTGCCCAGGTGAGGCGTTACTGTATCAAGCTTCTGTGTTGTGTTTGTGGGACATGAAATTGCCTTGTCCCCTGATGCGTGTTTCCAACACTGATTCCCTTTCTTAGTTCTAGAAAAGGTAAGATTTTGTTTTTCTTTTACTAGATGTAACTACCCCAGAATCTCCAAAGAAGGTTGTGGAATCATCTATAGTGAACGGAGGTTTGACGTCACAAACAAAAGAAAATGGGTTAAATGCCACACAGCATGTGCCTGTGCAACGCAAGAAGCTCCTCAAAGCCCCAACCCTGGCCGAACTGGACAGCTCCGACTCCGAGGTGAGCTCCAGCGAGGAGGCCACGGTGCTGGCACAGCATGCTGCTTAGTGTCTTCCTACGTTTCAGTCAATAAAGTTGGGATTAAAATTGATTTACTGAGTAGGAAATCCAGCAGAGTAACTTACTATTGTTAGTAAAGACCATTGCGATGACTAGTTTGTAGAATAAATATTGAAATTTCAATATAGTCTTAAATTAAAAGCTGAGTTAAAATAAATCAACTGTTACAAAGTTACAGTTCCTTAAGATCTTGCTCTTTGTTTTGGGAAGGAAAAAACAAACAAACAAAAAAAAACATGTTTCTTGTCAAGAAACATAAATTCCTCCTTTAAAATGTACACACAGCCATACTTAGGAGATTCTTTCTGTAATAGTAATATCAACAGAAAAGCCTCCAGAGAGAAAACTGTGAGGTGTTTTCCCCTGTTCTGTCGTCCACCAACTGCCCTTTAGAGGAAAAAAGATCTCAGAGCCTTCCTGCTTCCAAACCCACCTAAAGGCTGCCGTTCTCCATCTCTCTCATGCCGTCTGCAGTGTCAGGCTGCTACATGTTCCTCAGCTCATGTACAGTGAAACTGGGCTCCTCTCTCTCCACCATACACACACACCAGCTTCTCGTCTTCCATTCACTGCCCTCATTGCTGGCTCCATCCTTTCCATAGTCATCAAGGTTGGAATCTGAGAAATTGTTCTTTACTTCGCCACTTGTCAGCCTCCATTCCCCATGCAGGCAATACCAATAACTGTTTTACTATAAGTTTTTCTTTTTTTTTTTTTTTTTTTTTTGACAGAGTGGACAGTGAGAGAGAGAGAGACAGAAAGGTCTTCCTTTTGCCATTGGTTCACCCTCCAATGGCCACCACGGCCGGCGCACTGCGGCCGGTGCACCACGCCTATCCGAAGGCAGGAGCCAGGTACTTATCCTGGTCTCCCATGGGGTGCAGGGCCCAAGGACTTGGGCCATCCTCCTCTGCACTCCCTGGCCACAGCAGAGAGCTGGCCTGGAAGAGGGGTAACCGGGACAGAATCCGGTGCCCCAACCAGGACTAGAACCCGGTGTGCCGGCACCGCAAGACGGAGGATTAGCCTAGTGAGCCGCGGCGCCGGCCATAAGTTTTTCAAACAGTAGCAATAAATCCCCTTATTACTGACTGATTGAGTCCATGTCTTTCTCACTGTGTCTCATCAGCAGTCTGTCTGATTTCTCTTCTTCGCAAATTCTGTCTTTCACGCCACCAGAGCCCTTGTCACTCCTGCTTACAACATTTAGGAGGCTTGCCATCCCTTAGGGGATGGAGTTCCTGTTCCCTGATGAGATGCCTTAAGACCCAGGCCTTGCTTCACACCACCCTGCCTCCCTTTTACCCTCAGCCACACAAGGCTGTTGTTTCTTCCTACACAGGTCACAGCTCCTCAGCTCCAGCTTAGCCGTGCTGCAGAGCTCCCCAACTCGGATGTCCTCTTTCTCCTTTCTCAGTCAGCGCTTCACTCGCCTTCTCTTGCGAAGTCTTCCCAGATGCCAGCCCATCCAAACTCCTCCTCTGTGATTCCCAGACAACTCTCATCCCTGTGTAATGTCAGAGCACTTAACACTTCATGTAGTTACCCACTCATTTCTGTGGCTCCCACCAGAGTACAAGTGTCCTGAGAGGAGGGGCCATGCCAGACTGACATGATATTCCTAGATCCTAACACCCTATAGAAGACATTCAAATATTTGAATAAATTCATACTAATAAGAACAGTTGAAATTTAAGAAGCACATGTCGTCTAGACAGAAGTCTGCATTATACAGTACAGTAGCTACTCACCACATGTGCCCATTTAAGTTTAAATATGTTTAAATAAATGAAGAACTCAGTTTCTCAGTCACAGTTCTCAAGTGCTCACAACCTCCTATGGCTAATGCCTACCGTACAGGACAATACAGGTGACAGTCCCCTCACAGCATTCTGTTGGCCAGCACTGATCTGCAGCTTCCAGGGGCTCTAGGGAGAGCCCCTTCACCTCTGCTCCATCCTGGTCCTCCTCCACCATCTCCTGAGTCATGACTGCACTACATTTTGATATATGTTCAGCCTGTGCAATCTTCTCTGTGAGTCTTTATGTGAAGATAGAAGCTAACACCCAAAGCCCAGATCATGAAGTGATTTGCTGGACTTGTTACTACTCTTAACCAGAGGGAGGCCAGTTTCACCCAGCCACCTGTCATCAGAACAGGGAGCAAGCAATAAGATGCTGAAAAGAGAAGCGTTAGAACTGAATTTCTTCTACCGCTGACCTTTGTCACCAGCTGGTTTTTTTTTAAATGACAGGTAGAGTTATAGACAGTGAGAGAGAGAGAAAGGTCTTCCTTCCATTGATTCACCCCCCAAATGGCCGCTAAGGCCAGCACTGCGCCGATCCAAAGCCAGGAGCCAGGTGCTTCTTCCTGATCTCCCATGCAGGTGCAGGGGCCCAAGCACTTGGGTCATCCCCCACTGCCCTCCCAGGCCACAGCAGAGAGCCAGACTGGAAGAGGGGCAACCGGGACTAAAACCGGGCGCCCATATGGGATGCCGGCGTGGCAGGTGGAGGATTAACCAAGTAAGCCACGGTGCCAGCCTCTGTCACCAGCTGTTTAAGTCTGAGTGAATCAGAGCTCCTTAGTCAGTGGTAGTAGAAATCTCGAAGATTTAGAGAATCTTTGTATAAGGAATAAAGAATGATTTTTGTACAAGGGCCTAGAAATAAGCAAATTCTTTCCTTCATTTTTAACTTAAAAAATTGATGTTTTTATTGTGGTTCAGCAAGTTAAGTTATAGTCTGGAGTGCCTGCATCCCATGTTAGAGTGCCTAGATCCCAGTCCTGCCTCAGTTTCTGATCCAGCATTTTTGCTGATGCACATCCTGGGAGGCAGCAGGTGATGGCTCAAGTGTTTGAGTCCCTGCCACTCACATAGGAGTCTGGGGTGGACTTGCAGGATCCTGGCTTTGGCCTGGCCCAGGCCTGGCTGTTGTGGGCATTTGGAGACAGAACAATCAGATTAAATATCTCTCTCCTCTCTCAGTGCCTCCCTGTCTCTTTCATTTTCTGTCTCACTTTCTCTCACTCTCACTCTTGTTCTGCCTTTTAAATTAAAAAAATAAATAAACTCTAAAACAATGAATGTAGTGATAGTTTTAAGTAATAAGCAAGAACAATCAAAGGTAGTAATTATGAGAATGGTTTGTATTCCTTTTTCATTTATTTATCTCAAAGATTTATTTTCTTTGATTTGAAAGGCAGAGTGACACACAGAGAAGCAGAGATCTTCCATAGGCTGATTCACTCCGCAAATGGCTGCAGTGTTTGGGGCTGGGCTGAGTCAGAGCTAGGAACTTCATCTGGGTCTCCCATGTGAGTTGCAAGATCCCAAATACTTGAACCATCTTCTGCTGTTTTCCCAGGAGCATTAGCAGGGAGCTGGATTAAAGCAGAGCAGCCAGGACTCAAACCAGTCAGTGTTCCAGTGTGAGATGCCAGTGTCAGCCTGCTGCACCACAGTGCCAGGCCCTACATACCTTTTTAAAAAAGAATTTTAAAACAATCTGGGGGCGGGCCGGCGCCGCGGCTCAATAGGCTAATCCTCCGCCTAGCGGCGCCGGTACACCGGGTTCTAGTCCCGGTCGGGGCGCCGGATTCTGTCCCGGTTGCCCCTCTTCCAGGCCAGCCCTCTGCTGTGGCCAGGGAGTGCAGTGGAGGATGGCCCAGGTGCTTGGGCCCTGCACCCCATGGGAGACCAGGAAAAGCACCTGGCTCCTGGCTCCTGCCATCGGATCAGCGCGGTGCGCCGGTCGCAGCGCGCCGGCCGCGGCGGCCATTGGAGGGTGAACCAACGGCAAAGGAAGACCTTTCTGTCTGTCTCTCTCTCTCACTGTCCACTCTGCCTGTCAAAAAAAAAAAAAAAAAAAAAAAAAACTGAATCTGGGGGCTGGCATTGTGGCTTGGCAGGTAAAGCTGCTGCCTGTGACTCCTAATGCCATATGGGCACCAATTTGAGTCCCTGCTGCCCCACTTCTGATTCCACTTCCTGCTAATGGCCTGTGAAGGGTAGCAGAGGGTGGCTCAAGTGCTTGAGCCCCTTCCACCCATGTGGGAGGCTCAGAGGAAGCTCCTGGTCCAACCCTAGCAAGCAGTTGTGACCATCTGAGGAGTGAGCCAGCAGATGGAAGCATGCACTTTCTCTCCGTCTTTCTATAACTCTTTCAAATAAATAAATATTTTTTTCACCCCCCAAATGGTTGCCACGGCCGGCGCGCTGCACCGATCCAAAGCAAGGAGCCAGGCACCTCCTCCCAGTCTCCCATGCGGGTGCAGGGCCCAAGCACTTGGGCCATCCTCCACTGCCTTCCCGGGCCACAGCAGAGAGCTGGCCTGGAAGAGGAGCAACGGGGACAGAATCCGGCACCCCGACCAGGACTAGAACCCAGGGTGCTAGCGCCACAGGCGGAGGACCAGCCCAGTGAGCTGTGGCACCAGCCAATAAATAAGTATTAAAAAAAAAAAAAAAAACGACTCTGGGCAAACTTTAACATTCAGTAAGCTGAAGACTTTATTTTTAATCAGCTGTGCTTCATATTTGGACTTTGAATTAATCAAAGTTTCAATAATTTGTTGATGAAGCATAGCTTTAATTTAATAGTATTAGATTAGTTGTGTTCATCCTAAAACTCTCTCATTAATATTAGCATTAGCTACTTTCAGATTATCCATCAATTGTGTGTTAAAGCCAACTCACAAGAGTGTCTGTTGTGAAGCCAGTTAATTAACTGACATTTATACAGATGTGAAGCACCTGGAAATGCAGACCAGGTTTTCTTAAAGTGTGAGTTAGTAAGCACTGTTCTCCATGCAGGACCTGCCCTGGGTCCCAGCTCTGGCTGCATGGACAGTGCACTTCATCTTGTCGGCCATCAGTGTGTCTTCTGCCTCACAAGGGTAGTTGGACTTATGATCTTTCTTTTTTTTTTTTTTTTAA